AAGAAGGAGCATTGCATCAAAATAGGCCAACACAAGCCAGAATAAGATGTTGGCAGTCATATGTTACACAAAAAAACAACACCCACAAAGGTTACCCAAAATTAGGCCTGATCCTTTTTAAATCATCATGAACGATCATTCAGCATCTTGCATTTATGGCAATCAAAAAGCAAACACAAAGATCCAAAAAATTTATTGGGGAAGACTCAAAAGGAATCTGTTTTTTTTTTAATAGATATATTCTGTTTTACCTGTCTCCTTGCTCACTTCGTTCTGTGAAATCAAGATTCCACTGAGTAACTCTCTGCATAGCTGCGTAACCACCAGTAGCAAAAGCTCTCAAGAGATTCAAAGTAGCTGCAGATTGACAATAAGCCCTGATCATCCTCTGAGGATCAGGAATCCTCGATTTCGAATCAAAAGCATCTCCATTGATGTTATCTCCTCTGTAACTCGGCAATTTCACTCCGTTTCTCTCCTCAAACGAATCCGATCTCGGCTTCGCAAATTGACCCGCCATTCTTCCAACCTTTATAAGCAGAAACAACACCAAAAACTCAAATCTCAATAATCCCCAAAATCCATAAAAATCCAAACTTTTTGACAAAAATCCAAACTTTTTGATAAAAAAAATCCAAACTTTCTCAAAACCGATGCGTACCTTAACGACAGGGACTTGGCCTCCGAACATCAAAACAGCACCCATCTGGAGAAGAATCCTGAAAGTATCACGAATGTTGTTGGCGTTGAATTCTTTGAAGCTCTCTGCACAGTCTCCTCCCTGTAACAGGAAAGCTTCACCCATTGCGGCTTGGCCTAACCGCTCCTCGAGCAATCTAGCTTCTCCGGCGAAAACGATCGGAGGGAAAGCCTCGATCGTGTCGAGCACGGCTTCAAGCTCAGCTAAATCCGGATACTCCGGCTGCTGAAGCGCCTTCTTCGTCTTCCAGCTCTCTGGTGCCCATTTCGATTTAGCCACATTTACCCCGACGGTCTTCGTCGTCACCGCCGATGATGCTGGTGGTTTGGGATCGGTTTGCACGGCGGAGATCCGGAGGGAAGAATGTCTTGGGACGGCGGAGGAGAAGCTTGTTTGACGGTGGTTGTATATCGATGATTTGACCGATGAAAGATTCATGCTTCCATTCATGAGCGCCATTTTTTCCTTGATTATTGTTTTAATAAAATAAAAAGAGATTTCGGTTTTGAGATTTCGACAAATGTGTGTGAAAAATGTTTACACGAAACCTGAGAAGAGTTGGGAAGGGAATTTAAGGGTTTTATAACGAAGTAGTTGTGTTTGGTGAAGCTTTTCGTGTGTTTTGCGGTAGGTAAATCACTTCTAAGGGTATTTTTGGTAAATCCAACTTCGGGATTGTTGGAAAGGGTAATATAGTCAATTCGATTCGAGCGATGACCGGTTTATTGTTCGTCTGTTTATAAACCGGAAACGGAATTTCGGTTTAGCTTCCTCTGAAATGGATTCCATGTATGTTTTGATGGTGGTGATGTTCGGTGAGAAAAATGTTCGGTGAGAAAAATTAATATGATTAAGATGGTCAAGATTTATAAAAGGTAGTCTCGAATTTTGTTATAGTAATTCGGGTGTATATGTACACATGTTGAGTTGAAAATTGAAATAGTAACCAAGTAGATTATAATTGATAAAAAAACAAAAATTAAAAAATGGATAGAGATACATGAGTAAAGCTAATCTCTCACCTAACACCCGTCGTGAAGAACGGAAGCCCACCATTCTACTTCGCCAACTCCCACTTTTGATATACAATCATATCATTTTTTGTTACATTTGCAATTGTTTATCGTTCCAAATTTCTCGATATAGACATGCAAATGGTTACCAAACCTTTTTGGTTATATATATATATATATATTCAAGAGTTGTTGCAATCTCACCAATTCGTGTTCTGATGTATTTTTATGTGTCATTAGCGATTAGTTCTATAGTTGTAGACTTAAGACAGAAAACTTTCCGTTTGATTAGAAACATATGATCCTGTCTGATAATAAAAATCAAGGACCACATAGAATGGACATCGTCCTTGACGAAATCTGATATAGGTATTAAAAAAACGTGTTAGGCTGACTTGAAAAAGGAGTGAAATGAAAGAGCATATTCTTTTGTATTCCTGCAAGATAGATCACAGGGTGATTAGGTGATTATAATCAAGTGAGGTCGACCCCACGGAGTCTTGTTCTTCTGAATGTTGGTGGAAAGGAGAGGGAAATTACGAGAGAGAGAGAGAGAGAGAGAGAGAGAGAGAGAGAGAGAGATGTTAGGTGTGTTGACTTTCGCGGTTATGTGCTTATTACAAACATATAGTCATTAGCGACGTCATTGATTAGTTATCATTCTTGCAATTTTTTTTTTTTTACAATCGTTACGATCATTTTTGTTTTCCTGGTGTTTCACAGGAAGTGTCCAAGAAAACCAGGTATGATATATAATAAGACCAGAGTTTGAAGTGTATATATTAATCGGGCATTTTTTGATTATTAATAATAATCCGCATGTTTAATACTACAAATCAAAGAGTATTTGCAATAGTAAGGATTCAACACATAACTAGCTAAACAATACGACCAAGTTTTTTATTTTCTGTTGTAAATTAAACACCTTTTGAAAGAAAACACAAACTCCACTCTAGCAAGATAGACTCCAATGTTTACCTAAAATAAAATAAAATAGAAAGACTCCAAGCGAGAGATAAAAATGTTCTACAACGCTAGATGATCTTAGCAATTAGCCAATTACATTTCTTGTCGACGATCATAATAATCAATGATCTTGTGAAAATAATATTATGTAGATAATGATGTACGACGAAATGTGAAAAAGGACTATTTTGGTGTAATGTTTTTGCCTATTGGACCATAAAGAACTTAAACCATAAGCCCATGTTATGATCCAGTTTGTTAAGAAACTCCGTTGGACTAGGAATCTAGGATTGTTTACTGGATTTTGGATGGATTAGTGGACTTGAATTTTTCCACCCATACCTATTCATACAGTATTGTAATTAAAACAAAAAAATACGAGTTTTTTTTCATGTTATTTGTTACGTGTTCCGACCTTACAATATATATGAATTATTTAGAAGCCTTATAAATTTGTGAAATATGTTCTGAACTCTTCAAGGAAAACATGCCATAATGAGAAGAAAAAAACAACATAGAGATCATGTCTTTGCGTACGGACAGAATAGCCAGCTCAATAAAACTTTAATTTTTGAATAATAATATATAAGAAACTGAACTCGCTTTGAATTTCGTTTGTTCCACAAATACGTCACTAGTTCTTATTTAGTACTCCAGAATACTTGTTACCGAAAAATAGTATGTTACATGACATCTGTGTGATCTAGCCATCTAGGGCACATGGCTTATTCCTCATTTTAGGAATCACGAGCATAAACAGTCTCTTATATGTGTCCAAAATTGATGCCGCTAGAATACTTCTTCGTGGGAATGAGAATTGATAAAAAATTTGGATATTTTTACAATAGATATTTGAAAAAACAAACAAGTCACATTGTTTGAACTTTAACGTGTAGAAATGTGTTAAACTGACTTTGATGATGTCAAAATTTGCGTTGTATTTCATTTTTTTCTTTCAATTTCCCATTGAATAAAGAAAACATCATCAAAGAAATAAAAAAATGTCCACAAAAGGCAAACCCAAGCCTAATTTTGGTTACAATCTCTAACCAAGTTGATGCATGGCTTTAACTAATATACACACGTTATTGAATTTAATTGGATTAATTATGATTAAACAATACTGATATGAAAATAAAAAGTTATTGATAGAGAACCAGACATTGAGATTAAAGTGATTTTGCCATTTTGGTAGGCCATATTTAAGCTCATACGAAGGGAAGTTTTCGAAAGTAAAGCCCTTTAACGAAAAAAAAAGAAGTTTTCGAAACTGGATGCTTCAGATCGGTCGGGATTTGTTATAGACACTAACCTACTGATCTTATGGCAAATGAAGTGCTTAAAAAACTGTTCACCATAATTAAATATTTTTTTCCTGTTTCACAATTGCGATAACAATGGAGACTCGAGTCAAAAAAAGTAACTCTTGACTTTGAAGTCAAAGCCATGCATCAACTTGCTTAGAGATTGTATCAAAATTTTGTTCCTGCCACAGAATGCATTTACGCTTGGGCTTTGCCTTTCGTGGACCTTTTTTTTTCTTTGATGAGGCTTTTTTTTGGTCAAACATTTATTTGATGAGATTTTCTTTAATAAATGGCAAATCTAACAGAGAAAAGATTGATGAAATTCAATATATGGCTGTAAAAGCCGAGAAGATTGGAAACAAAAACACAAATTTGAGTGACATAAAAAAGAAATGGCAAACGTTTAATAACGGCCAAAAACAAATTATTTTCCTGATTGCACCGTACAAAGACAAAAACATTAATAGTTCCAAAAATAATAAATTCGCTGATCTGAATTCTACCAAAAGGGGTAAATTTGTGAATGAAAAAGACGGCAAGTGGTCCACGCTCTAGTCTCTACGTCAATCATCAATTTTGTGTAATGCTTGGTTTGGCATAGTTACCTGCTTCATGATTAATATTACGTCCCAAATATGCTTATGTCTTTCATATAAGACGAAATATAGAAAATTATGAATTAAGCAGATAATGAAATCTCTAGATTAATTATTCGGCACAAGCCAATTAGATAAAGGTAGTTTGAAAAATTTCCCCTAATAGGCATGTGCCTAAGTTCCTTGGTAGACATACTTGCAACGTGATCACGATATCATATTAATTGAAAAACCTTTAGCAAAAAAAATAATAATAATAATTGAAAACCTAATCTTCCAGCATCGAAGCGGCTCATGGCAGGGGTGGATAGAATTCGCACTTGAGATAGATTTTTCAACATCCACCACGTGCTAGAAACACATAGTCTCCCCTTTTTTTTCCTATAAAATGGCGTATGTCAAAAAGCTTAAGCCAACATAAAATCACATTTGCCAACTTCCAAAAAAAAAACCTCGCATTTGTCTTGGCAGAAGAGAGAACGAAAATGGGATCTCATGACGATTTTAACCCACAAAAACCACACGTAGTCTGCGTGCCTTACCCGGCTCAAGGCCACATCAATCCGATGCTTAAAGTGGCTAAACTCCTCCACGCAAAAGGCTTCCACGTCACCTTTGTCAACACCGTCTACAACCACAACAGGCTACTCCGGTCTCGTGGGCCCAACGCCCTAGACGGACTTCCTTCCTTCCAGTTCGAGGCCATACCTGATGGTCTACCTGAGACTGACGTGGACGCGACGCAGGACATCCCTGCCCTTTGCGAGTCCACTATGAAGAACTGTCTAGCTCCTTTCAAGGAGCTTCTCCGGCAGATCAACGCCAGAGATGATGTTCCTCCGGTGAGCTGTATTGTATCGGACGGTTGTATGAGCTTTACTCTTGATGCTGCGGAGGAGCTTGGAATCCCGGAAGTCCTTTTTTGGACCCCTAGTGCTTGTGCAACCATGGCTTATCTACACTTCTATCTCTTCATCGAGAAGGGTTTATCTCCTTTCATAGGTACGTATTCTTACATTTATTAATAATTCAGTTGATTTATAATACTATATTTAAAGAGAAACAACAAAAATACTAAGACAACACGAGGGGGCGAGGTTTATAATTTTGAGATGGTAATATCCAGTTAGGAGCATATTTAGCAAATACCAAGATGAAGGTCCATGTAGAGATAAGAGATTCCATCTATATACGACAGTATCTATAGATGACGTTGAAAATTTCCATGAGTCAGCATTTTTCTTGTAATTCGTTTCTATGCGAATTAATAAGAAGATATCCTTGTAAATTTGTTTTAAAATCTCCAATAATTGATTTTAGGTCAATAATGCTTATCCGCTAGGCAATTTTGAGCGAAAATGCCTTTGAGTGACGTAAAAGATTTAGTGCAAATTCCTAACTTTACTTGTTTGGGGTTGTGGTGATGTATCTAGTTCTTAAGTTCTTAACTTTCATTATAACTTATGAACATTTTCAAATGTAAGTTTTCTATTATTTTACTATTTAGTTCCACACTAGCGATTAAAAATGATAATATGAAACTATTTTTAATATTTGCAAAACTTTTGAGAAAATAAAGAATTTTAATATATAGTAACAAACATTAGTTAAAGTGGCAAAGAGATGATAGGTTATCTGTGTAAAGAAATTTGTTTGTGCATGGGTTCCAATTCTTTTGATGATGTTTAATTTGACAACATCGGACGGGCCGTAAATATGGAAAAACAATTGATTACAAGTTACAACAAAAGACACTGTAGGTGCATATATATTGAAAAAAATAAAAATTGCTCAAACTCCAAAGAGATAATTTAACTGAAAAAAAAAGAAATAAACCCTTAAAAAATTATTCAGTAGGCCCATGTTTTTGTCTTTCGGTCATATTCATAACCACGTCTGGCTCTGAAATTACCCTACCAATGTCGTGTCCTATACTGAGTCATTTAGACGTGCACCCTTATGTAAATGCGTCATTTTTTGTGTGTAATGCAGCGCTTTAATTATTTTTTTTCTTTAATTTCTGATTAACTAAATATCGGAAGACTAATATTAATGGTGATGAATTTGGCAGATGAGAGTTACTTGACGAAGGAGTACTTAGACACGGTTATAGATTGGATACCGTCAATGAAAAATCTAAAACTAAAGGATATTCCTAGCTTCATCCGTACCACTAATCCTGATGATATTATGCTTAAATTCGTCATCCGCGAGACCGAGCGATCAAAACGCGCTTCTGCTATCATTCTCAACACATTCGATCTTGAACATGATATCATCCAGTCCATGCAATCCATTTTACCTCCGGTTTATTCAGTTGGACCGCTTCATCTCTTAGCGAACCGGGAGATTCAAGAAAGTAGTGAGACTGGAAAGATGGGGTCGAATCTATGGAAAGAGGAGGTAGAATGTTTGGCTTGGCTCGATACCAAGGCTCCAAACAGCGTCGTTTACGTCAACTTCGGGAGCATAACGGTTATGAGTGCCAAGCAGCTTGAGGAGTTCGCTTGGGGTTTGGCCGGAAGTGGTAAGGAATTCTTGTGGGTGATCCGGCCGGATTTAGTAGCTGGAGAGGAGGCGGTGGTTTCGCCGGAGTTTTTAACGGAGACGGCAGACCGGAGAATGTTGGCGAGCTGGTGTCCTCAGGAGAAGGTTCTTGCTCATCCATCGGTTGGAGGGTTTTTAACGCACAATGGATGGAACTCGATGTTGGAGAGTCTTTCAGGTGGAGTTCCAATGGTGTGTTGGCCGTTCTTTGCAGACCAGCAAACGAATTGTAAGTTTTGCTGTGATGAGTGGGAGGTTGGGATGGAGATTGGTGGAGATGTGAGGAGGGAGGAGATTGAGAAGGTGATTCGGGAGCTGATGGATGGAGAGAAGGGAAAGAAAATGAGAGACAAGGCTGAGGAGTGGCGGCGCTTGGCGGAGGAAGCGACCGAGCATGAACACGGTTCATCGGTTGTCAATTTTGAGACAGTTGTTAAGGTTCTTTTGGGACAGGGATCAGGGGATTAAGTAAAACATGAGATGATTACAGAAATCTGTGATATATAATCACTACCAAGTGTTTTCTTGTTTTCATCGTGTTATATAACTAGGCTAGTAAATTGGATTGATAAACAACGAACATTGGTTGATAAAATATGAAGAATTTAGGTGTTTGTTAAGATGTACTATTAATACGAAGAAAATTAAAAAAAAAAACAAAAAAAATTATAAAGCGGTTAGTAAATTATAGATTAATTAGTATTCGGCAGGAGCAAAATTAATACAGGCGTACATGCCTTGTCTTGACACATGCCCTCTCACATGCCTTGTCATCGTGAAGATATGAGCTCGTAATTGAAAACCTAAAGTTCGGTTAAAGAAATGAATCAAATTTCATTTTCCTGATAAATCTATTTTCCTACAAAGACATGAAGCTGGCAAAAATTTAAGTAGTATACTTCCTCCGTTTCACAAAATGTTTCTTATATCCTTATTAATTTGTAGAAAATGACTCTAAAAATCATATTTATAATTAATTTTCTGAATTTATTAAAGTTAAAAATAGTATTTTATATTAAAAATTACATTAGAATTCTAAAACGACATTTTTTTTGAAAAAAAAAAGTGTCAAAACAACACTCAAAAAAAGTAACATTTTTTTTTAATTCCATTATTCCATTGTCAATAGGGAATTTAAACTATTTTAGACAGTTTCATGATTTTTATCATTTTCGTTGATAACAATAAAAAAACATTTCTTTTTTTATAAAGAAAAAAATCATTTCTTTCCATCTATTACTTACTAAAAAACAACCACCTCATCCTTTTATTCGTCTATATGTATCTTGTTTAAATAGGATTTTTCTTTTGCAATTTCGATACATCTTTAATGAATTATGCAGGTCACACAATTCTAGGATTTGGATTGCTTTTGTTCTTTGACAAATCGATTGACTCCGCTGAAATTTATGCTTCATTTTTGGATATGGATATTTTTTTTAAAAAAAAATTGAATCCTATATATTGAATTTCAGCAGGAAATTTTAATTTTTTTAATACTGCTTTTGATCACCACATATAAGTATAACACAATGGTTTGTTATAAGAAAAAAAAACATGGATATTTCTTACACCAATCCCTAAATATTAATTAAGTCTTCAGGAAATAACTTCTACACATATTCAGGCCTCGAGATATCTCAAGGCACATGGCGTAGATTTTTTTTACAATTGCCTCATGTCTCATGATCTCGCCGGTTTCCTATAAAATGGCATACATACTTCAAAGCTTTAGCCAACTAGCCTACAGAGAACTGTACCGAGTTATAGTCACATTTTTTCTTTGGCATACAGAGAAAGAAAATGGGATCTCATGTTGTTTTTAACCCCAAAATCCACACGTGGTCTGCGTGCCTTACCCGGCACAAGGCCACATCAATCCGATGCTGAAAGTGGCTAAACTCCTCCACACAAATTAAAAGGCTTCCACGTCACCTTTGTCAACACGGTCTACAACCACAACCGTCTACTCCGGTCTCGTGGGCCCAACGCCCTAGACGGACTTCCTTCCTTCCGGTTCGAGGCTATTCCTGATGGTCTCCTGAGACCAACGTGGAACCACGCAGGACATCCCTGCCCTTTGCGAGTCCACTATGAAGAACTGTCTAGCTCCTTTCAAGGAGCTTCTCCGGCAGATCAACGCCAGAGATGATGTTCTTCCGGTGAGCTGTATTGTATCTGACGGATCGATGAGCTTTACACTTGATGCTGCGGAAGAGCTCGGTGTCCCAGAGGTTCTTTTTTGGACCACTAGCGCATGTGGCCTTATGGCGTATTTACACTTTCATCTCTTCATCGAGAAAGGTTTATGTCCTTTTAAAGGTACGTGTTCTTATTTCTTACATTAATTACTGATTTAGTTGTTATAAACTCATCTCGATTAATTATAATACAATGGAAGACTTAATTAAAATTAATAGAATGGGTTATACTTTGTATTGCAAATAATTTCTTAGATAAGAAAAATTCTAAAGCATAAAAATACAAAGAGACACAACTAGTAATTTTACTTTTGACAAAAAAATCTAGTTATTAGCTAATATATATCTATAATTAGAAAGTAATTAATGGTCGGTGAACACTATCTTTTTTTGTATTCCAGAAAAGCATATCTTTAAAAAGGTTGTGCATAAAATGGTAATTTGATAATAACAGCAGAAATATGACATGACAAAAACAAGGAGAAAAACAAATTGATAGACATGTCAAGAGAAACACGTACTAAAGGTCAAAAAAAAGAAAAGAAAAGAAACACGTACTTTAAGTAGAATGCAACTATTGTTAAAACTCTTTAAGCTGTATGCAATCAGGCCAACATCACTTTCTAGCTAGGCCATTTTCTTTGCTAATAGCGACTTCTAGCTCTGAAACTACACTATCAACGTAAATGCATCAATTTTTGTATTTATGTGTTCACCTACGTAGTTTGCATTTTTCTTACGTAGTTTACCACCTCGTGCATTAATTTTAACCGGAGATTAAATAATTAAATTAAGCATGATGGATTTCAATTTACAGATGAGAGTTGCTTGACGAAGGAACACTTGGACACAGTTGTAGATTGGATACCATCGATGAAGAACCTAAAATTAAAAGACATACCTACCTTCATCCGAACCAGTAACCCCAACGACATAATGCTCAACTTCCTTGTCCGCGAGACCGGTCGATCCAAACGCGCCTCTGCTATAATCCTCAACACGTTCGATGACCTTGAACATGACATCATCCGGTCTATGCAATCCATTTTACCACCGGTTTATTCCATTGGACCGCTTCATCTCATAGTGAACAAGGAGATTGAAGAAGGTAGTGAGGCTGGAAGGATGGGATCGAATCTTTGGAGGGAGGAGATGGAGTGTTTGGATTGGCTCGATACCAAGACTCCAAACAGCGTCGTTTACGTTAACTTCGGGAGCATAACGGTTATGAGTGCAAAGCAGCTCGTGGAGTTCGCTTGGGGTTTAGCAGCAACAAGAAAAGACTTTTTGTGGGTGATACGGCCAGATTTAGTAGCCGGAGATGAGGCGGTTATTCCGCCGGAGTTTTTAATGGAGACAGAAGGTCGAAGGATGTTATCAAGTTGGTGTCCTCAAGAGAAAGTCCTCTCTCATCCGGCGATCGGTGGATTTTTAACGCATAATGGATGGAACTCGACGCTAGAGAGTATCTCTGGTGGAGTTCCGATGGTTTGTTGGCCGTTCTTTGCGGAACAACAAACAAATTGTAAGTTTTGTTGCGATGAATGGGAGGTTGGGATGGAGATAGGTGGAGATGTGATGAGGGAGGAGGTCGAAGCGGTGGTTAGGGAGCTGATGGATGGAGAGAAAGGAAAGAAAATGAGAGAAAAGGCGCTTAGCGGAGAATGCGACGGAGCATATGCGTGGTTCGTCGGTCGTGAATTTGGAGACGGCTGTTAATAAGGTTCTCTTAGGAGTTAGGACAGGTCCCAAGATAGGTCATAATTAATTGAAATCATAAGATGATAATAAGAATGTGTGAATCACCAATAAGTAATTGTTGTTCTTGCTTTTATCGTGTGTAATAGTAGTAGTTAAATGGATTAAAAAAAAAGAAATACGCTGGTAAAGAAAAAAAATTTAGTATATAAGACTTTTAAGTTTTACGTATTGAGAGAAACTATTTTGTCAACAAACATTGCTTTCATGCACGAATTATTGCCTTCTAATTAAGGACGTTTATTTTCCACCTACAGGCTACAAATACACTCAACTTGTTGGTGAACATTAATTTTACGCATTAACGCTTATGTCCGGTACGGGACACCTTCGGTGACGCAGATTTTTTTAACGAGTCCCACGTGCGAGAACCATATGGTCTCGCCATCTCATCGTGGAGTCCTATAAAGCCTAGCAAAATCGTTCTCAAATCAATCACATACATATTCATTCTTCCTCTCTGTTTGGCACAACCTGAGAAAGAAAAAAGAAATGGCATCTCATGCAGTTTCTAGCGGGCAAAAACCACACGCAGTTTGTGTACCTTTTCCGGCTCAAGGCCACATCAACCCGATGATGAAAGTGGCTAAACTTCTCCACGCCAAAGGCTTCCACGTTACCTTTGTCAACACCGTTTACAACCAAAACCGTCTCATCCGGTCCCGTGGACAGAAAGCCCTCGATGGGTTTCCCTCGTTCCGGTTCAAGTCCATCCCTGACGGTCTACCGGAGATCGACGGGGATAAGATGCAAGACGTCCCTTCCCTTTGCGAATCTACCATGAAGAATTGTCTAACTCCGTTCAAGGAGCTTATTAGACGAATTAACGTCGAAGATGATGTTCCACCTGTGAGCTGTATTGTAGCTGACGGTCTGATGACCTTCACTCTTGACGTTGCGGAGGAGCTTGGAGTCCCGGAGGTTCTATTCTGGACCACTAGTGCTTGTGGCTTCATGGCTTATCTACACTTTTATCGCTTCATCGAGGAGGGGTTATCTCCACTCAAAGGTACGTGTTCTTTTTTAAAACGATAGTTTACCTTTTACCTTTGGAAAGATAGTCCCAATCATTTTTTTTTTATCGTCAACAATTCGCCAAAAACAGTTTAGCTCAAACTAAATGTATCTATTAAAAATAGTAACAAACTTTTGGTGAACTAGTGAACTACTAAAAGATAACTGTGGTCCGCATTTCTAATATTATTAAATATATGCTTGATTATTTTAGTAAACGTTTTTGTGGTTCAAAATAGAAAAAGCTCAGTGAAGATCTTTGCGAACGTAGGTGCATGTAAAATGGAAACTCGATCACGTCAGGAAACCAAAAAAAATTGATATTGGCAAACCAAGAAATTCTCAAAAATAAAATTATATAAAATGCAATAAATAGCCTCACAGCCAGACATATTACGTACCATCTTATTTGCAATTAGGTCGATCCTTCAATATCATTAATATCATTGTCATTAACTACTTTTTTCTTTGATCTGTCATTGTGTTGGCCAACAATAACTCTTTCCGGATCTGAAAATTTAGACTATATGACTGGTTGGCCACAATAACAACTCTTTCTAACTCTGAAAATTAATTACACTATATTAATTCGTTCAAATTAAATACATTAAATTTTGCGTACTAATTAGTAACTACATAATATGCGGTTATATTATAGCAATGTTTTTTAGTAATATTTGATTAACCACTATTACTCAATATGTGGTTATTGGATCGCGACTTTGACTAAAATCAAGATCCATGCATACACGTTCTATTTTGTTTTTGTTTTTATTTTGAAATAAATTGAAGGTATATTACAAATTAGTTTTTGTCATTAATCTAGGTGTAAGCACCTCTAAAAGCAAGTGTTAATTCAGTTAGTGAATTCAAATTTTAGTTTTTTTTCATGATTTTAATTCCATTCTTTGTTGAAATCATTTGTCATTACAAATAGTGGAATTTCACAAGTCCTGATGTGTCAGAATGCATAACTGCACAAACACCATAAATTAAAATTCGATTATTTTTTTGTCCCACGGCACTTTAAGGTAATATATTTTCCACGTGAATGGACAACAATTATAAAGTTTACGTCAAAACTAAAAACGATGTGGGAGTGGACGGACTTGATTGGTTAGCTTTGTTTGCTTTAAGTTGTCTCTGGTCCTAGTCTCATACGTTTTTAAAGGTGATTGATGGATCGGTTAAAAAGATAACTAATAATTGTCCATTTGCAGAATCAATCTATTATGCTTTAGTTCTATTAAAACATTACAACATACAACCAATACCTTATTAGCTGTGTAAAAATCAAATATTACTAAAAAACATTTCTATAACCGCATATTACGTAGTTGGTTTAGATTAATCAAATATTAATTAAATGCATTATAATACGGTGCTTGAATTTCTATTAGTAAATGTTGAGATATTAACCTGTTACTAATAAAACGGCGGTGGAATTATCAGATGAGAGTGACTTGGACACAAAGATAGATTGGATTCCATCGATGAAGAACCTAAGACTAAAAGACATCCCTAGCTTCATCCGTACGACCAATCCTAAGGACATAATGCTCAACTTTTTTCTCCATGAGGTCGACCGGGCCAAACGTGCTTCTGCCATTATTCTCAACACGTTCGATGACCTCGAGCATGACATCATCCAATCAATGCAATCTATTTTACCTCCGGTTTACTCTATTGGACCGCTCCATCTGCTAGTGAATCGAGAGCTCGACGATGACAATGAGATCAGACGAATGGAAACCAATCTGTGGAGAGAGGAAACAAAGTGTTTGGACTGGCTTGATACAAAGCCTCGAAACAGCGTAGTTTACGTTAATTTTGGAAGCATAACAGTGATGAGTGCTAAACAACTCGTGGAGTTTGCTTGGGGTTTGGCGGCAACAGGGAAAGATTTTTTGTGGGTGATCAGGCCGGACTTAGTGGCCGGTGATGTGGCGGTGGTTCCGGCAGAGTTTCTAACGGAGACGGCAGACCGGAGAATGTTGGCGAGTTGGTGTCCTCAAGAGAAAGTTCTTTCTCATCCGGCGATAGGAGTGTTTTTAACGCACAGTGGATGGAACTCGACTCTGGAGAGTCTTTGTGGTGGTGTTCCTATGGTGTGTTGGCCGTATTTTGCGGAGCAGCAAACGAACTGTAAGTTTTGCTGTGATGAGTGGGAGGTGGGGATGGAGATTGGGGGAGATGTGAAGAGGGAGGAGATTGAGAAGGTGATTAGAGAGTTGATGGATGGAGAGAAGGGAAAGAGAATGAGAGAGAAGGCGGAGGAGTGGCGGCGCTTGGCGGAGAAAGCGACGGCGCAGAAAGATGGTTCGTCGGAATTGAACTTCCAGATGGTTGTTGACAAGGTCCTCCTAGCCTCCAAGGGTAAAGCAGTAGAGATGCTGTGATGTATTTCAAGCACAAGAGGGTTATAAAAATGTATTATGGTTTTTCTTTTGGTTATAAAAATGTATTATGGTTTTTCTTTACTTATATGTATTTTTATTATTCAATAATATTTTATAATCTTCTGTTTCAAAATAAGTGATGTATCAGGAAAAAAATTGTTTAAATATATGGTATTTCCAATTAATAATACAAAATTAATTTTTTCTATTATTTGACCAATTTTATTTTTCATATTGTCTTATCATTTGTTGAATTGTGGTAAGGTAGAAAATAAATGATGTTTTAATTTAGACAAAAAATTAATTAAATAATTTTGTAATATATTTGCAAAAACTATAAACATCACTTGTAACAAAACGGAAGTAGGCTCAACTTGTTAATAAACCAAAAAAAAGAACAAAGAAAAAAGAAAAGACTTGTTGATAAACATTATCTTTTGTTGGAGCTGTTAAAAAAAAAAAACATTATCTTTTGTTGGCACTTGACAGCATGTCAATTTTAGAAATATCGCTAACGCTCATTTCCGGATTCGGAAACCTTGTGGTTGAAGCAAATTTGTCCACGATTTCCACATGCGACAATCTTATGGTCTCGCCATCACATCGTAGAGTCCTATAAAGCCTGGAAAAATCATTCTCATATCAATCACATATGTACACACCCATTCTTCATCTTTGTTTGGCACACTGAGAAAAAGAAATGGCATCTCATGCAGATTTTAGCGGACAAAAACCACACGCAGTTTGCGTGCCTTTTCCGGCTCAAGGCCACATAGACCCGATGCAGAAAGTGGCTAAACTTCTCCACGCCAAAGGTTTCCACGTCACCTTTGTCAACACCGTCTACAACCATAACCGTCTCCTCCGGTCCCGTGGGACCAACGCCCTCGATGGGTTTCCTTCGTTCCGGTTCGAGTCTATCCCTGACGGTTTACCGGAGATAGATGGGGATGCAACGCAGGACCCCCCTTCCCTTTGTGAAGCCACGATGAAGAACTGTCTAGCTCCGTTCAAGGAGCTTGTCCGGCGAATTAACGCCGAAGATGATGTTCCTCCGGTGAGCTGTATTGTATCGGACGGTGTGATGAGCTTTACTCTTGACGTTGCGGAGGAGCTTGGAGTCCCGGAGGTTCTATTCTGGACCACTAGTGCTTGTGGCTTCATGGCTTATCTACACTTCTATCGCTTCATCGAGAAGGGTTTATCTCCACTCAAAGGTACGTGTTTCATTTTAAAACGACTTATAGTATTATTCTTACCTTTGAAAAGATAGACGATCCAATCATTTTATTAGTAATAATTATTAATTTATTAATAAGATATTAATTTTTTTTTTTTGGTAACAAGATAGGTATTAAATTGTTACTACTAACATGTTGGTGTATTTTTTTGCAGATGAGAGTTTCTTAGACACAAAAATAGATTGGATTCCATCGATGAGAAACCTAAGACTAAGGGACATTCCTAGCTTCATCCGTGCGACTAATCCTGATGATCACATAATTCTCAATTTTTTTCTCCATGAGACCGATCGAGCCAAACGTGCTTCTGCTATCATTCTCAACACGTTCGATGATCTCGAGCAAGACGTCATCCAATCCATGCAATCTATTTTACCTCCGGTTCACTCTATTGGACCGCTCCATCTACTAGCCAAACAAGAGATCGGTGAGGACAGTGAAATCGGACGGATGGGATCGAATCTATGGAGAGAGGATACAAACTGTTTGGATTGGCTAGATACTAAACCTCGAAACAGTGTAGTTTATGTTAATTTCGGTAGCGTAACAGTGATGAGCGCGAAACAACTCGTGGAGTTCGCTTGGGGTTTGGCTTCAACAGAGAAAGATTTTTTGTGGGTGATCAGGCCGGATTTAGTGGCCGGTGATGTGGCGGTGGTTCCGACAGAGTTTCTAAAGGAGACAGAGGATCGAAGGATGTTGTCGAGTTGGTGTCCTCAACAAAAAGTCCTTTCTCATCCGGCGATCGGAGGGTTCTTAACGCATAATGGATGGAACTCGACGCTAGAGAGTATCTCCAGTGGAGTTCCAATGGTTTGTTGGCCATTCTTTGCGGAGCAGCAAACAAATTGTAAGTTCTGTTGCGATGAGTGGGAGGTTGGGATGGAGATAGGTGGAGATGTGAAGAGGGAGGAGGTCGAGGCAGTGGTTAGGGAGCTGATGGATGGAGAGAAAGGAAAGAAAATGAGAGAGAAGGCGGAGGAGTGGCGGCGCTTAGCGGAGAATGCGACGGAGCATATGCGTGGTTCGTCGGGATCAAACTTCCAGATGGTTGTTGACAAGGTTCTCCTTGGGTATAAAGCAGTGTAGATGTATAAGAAGGTTATAAAATAGAGTGGATGTGAAATTTACGTTTGATAGTGAAAGTTATGAATTTTGTAAATTACCACTACCTTTATAATAAATTAGATGATTTGGCTAATTCATCAGACATTTTGATTAGATACAGAAAGAATTTTCAAAAAGCTAAGATTTATCTTGTAAAAAATATTGTGGAAAAAGGTCACGTTGGAGGAATGACCGTAAAGACCGAAAGCCTAGCATGCAACTAAAGAGTGCCAAAGCGATTTTTTTTCTTTCAAAAAATGACGTCAATAGATTTGGATATTGAACTCTTTATTAGAACGAGTACAATTCTATTTAGAATTTGCAACTTGAACATGACATCACCAATGATTAATTTCAACTGAGTTTGCACAACTCTCACGTCAGTCCATTGAATAATCAATCAAGAACACGTTACATCAACTTTTAAGTGTTCCTTGGGCCACTACTATATATATAGTTTGACTATTATTGCACCTACTAAATTAAAGTCAGCTCATCTTGTAGATAAACAATATATTTTGGCAGGCTTATATCTTTTACAATATATTAATACATAAATTCGGCCTCGAGATCGCTAAAGCCAGATATGGGCAATCTTCCCACGTGAGAGCCATTATTTTGGACAATCTCCACGTGCCAGAAATTATTTGGCAGCCTCGCCTTCTCACTGTCCTTAAAAGCCTAACAGAATCACATCCATTTCTTATTTTCTGTTGGCAGAAGAGGAATCAAAATGGAATCTCATGTCGTTAGTAACGCACAAAAACCACACGTTGTTTGTGTGCCTTACCCGGCTCAAGGCCACATCAACCCGATGCTGAAAGTGGCTAAACTCCTCCACGCTAAAGGCTTCCATGTAACCTTCGTCAACACCATTTACAACCATAACCGTCTCCTCCGGTCCCGTGGTCCCAACGCTCTTGACGGGCTTCCTTCTTTCAGGTTCGAGTCCATCCCTGACGGTCTACCGGAGATTGACGTGGATGTCACGCAGGACATCCCTGCCCTTTGCGAGTCCACCATGAAGAACGGTCTAGCTCCCTTTAAGGAGTTGCTCGGGCGGATCAACGCCGGAGATGATGTTCCTCCGGTGAGTTGTATTGTATCGGACGGTTGTATGAGCTTTACTCTTGACGCCGCGGAGGAGCTCGGTGTCCCGGAGGTTCTCTTCTGGACCACTAGTGCTTGTGGCTTCTTGACTTATCTACACTTCTATCGCTTCATCGAAAAGGATTTATCTCCACTCAAAGGTACGTATTATTATTTTGATTAATGATTTAATCCGTGTTATAATAATAAAATGTTTCGGTTAACGTAGAAACCCATAAGAAACCAGGAGTTCATGGATGAGTTTATGTTTTATGAGGTTGGATATATATGATTTGTTTTCTTACAACAGAATTTTTCTTTCAACCTTGATTGGTTCCAAATTTGGGTAAGTTTATAAGGGTAAGTTGTATGAGTTTCCTTTTTTAGTAGTAGTAAAAAATATTTTTAGTATAAAATCTTAATATTAAACCCAAAATCGGAACAACACATGGTCAATTTTTAAGAAATATCAAGTTGCATTTTAAATATAGGTTAAATTGATATTTCTCAAACAATGGAATAATTATTGTCAAAGCAGTTCATTCGATTATATTTCGTATAAAAATATTTGTAATGATAAAACGGATTGAGTCTCTTAATTTGAGTATAAAATACAGTAAAATTCTATAAATTAATAATGTCGAGACCAGATATTTTATCAATTTATCGTGATATTAATTTATTTATAAATTATTAATTATTAATTTATAGAGAAAATTATTTTTCGTCCATTTTTTCTTAAATTTTCTTTCAAATAATGTTATATTTAAGAACCTAAACTCATCTGCTTATAAAATGACATGCACAAACTTAAAATTTCTTAAATTTTCTTTCAAATAATGTTATATTTAAGAATTTAAACTCATCTGCTTATAAAATGACATGCACAAACTTAAAATTATGATTACTAATCATAGAAATCGCATTAGAATAATTGTTTCTATTTGTTAATTGTGGATTAAATTATCTTTGTGAAAAAAAAATGCTCATTAGTACAAAATTTAGAAAAAAAAATATAGCTACTATGTTGGTGCTGAAATTAAAGAAAATCAATTATCATATCTAAATTTTTTTCACAGTTTTTGAATAAAGCTAAAAAAACAGCATTATAAAAGTTATTGATGTAAATAAGTAAAGAGAGGATTTTCAATAAAATTTTAAACTTAAATAAAAATAAACAGCACATAAATCATATTTTAGTATATTATATCTTACCTATATATACATAAATTTTTATAACTATTAATTTATGTTTATACCGGGACCATATATTTACATAAGAGTTTCAAAAAATTATTATTTTATTAATTTATCGAATTTGATAAATTTTATACTAGTCCAATTCGAGATTAAAAATTTTATTAATTTATAGTGATTATTATGTTAGTGTATCTATGTAGTGAACTTCATTGTTAAACAATCATATCATTTAACATTTACTTTCTCCTGTTTCATGGACCTGCGCAGTGTATCACAGTTATTGCGAAACATAATAATCTTATATAATATATATGGTGGTGGTTCCCTAGAGCAAATGTGTAAAAGTATGCTACCTCTTATCTAGTTATACTTTTTTTGTTTTTTTTTGTCAATAAGACGCCAATATATTATTGTGTGTGTGG